AAAGGAAGGAATTGTTCCATCACTATCTTTAAGCTTACAACAAAGGATAAAAAGGAAACACGTGTAAACAGGAGAATGAGGGTATGCAGAGGATGTTCTTGTACAGTTAACATTTTATACAAACAAAGGATGACCTAGCGTTCGTTACTCCTGGACCCCGACATTATCAATAAATTCAAGTTTGAATTGATGAGGAATGGTGCACTATATGCAGGACTTGCCCCTCGTACCTTCCTCCTCTACCGCTTTCTTCATCCAATACAATTATCTACCAATCAAGAAATGTAAAGGAACAAGAGTTAGGGTAAACTTACCTTCAAACGTTCAGCTGAAAGAGACAGATATTTCACATTTGATATTGCTTCCAGTAGTGCAACTATACGGCAGGGAACTTCTTTGAGAACAATATTAGCTTTTACTAGGGATTTTGAATGCTCCAGAGAATAATTTGACGAAAGATCGTGCTTGAAATCAATGTTTTCAAGCTTTGGGCCATTGATAAAAAGATTGTAATCATGATACTGACGATCAACGGACAGATTTATACTTAATGTCTTCAGTGTAGGCACAGAAATATGGATATCTGAAACTACGTCACATCTTAGAATTCCATCTATATTCAAGTTTTCCAGGATAGGGCAGCAAGAAATAAGCTTTTCAATTGAGTCGGTATCAGGATAATGAACTGTGACATAGAGGAACTTGAGGCTTGGGAAACACCCCGATGTAGGAGGAGCATAGGTAATGCAGTTTGAGCTCAACTTCAAAACCGTTAGTGTTCTGCACGTGAAAAGGCTCTGAGGTAACTCAAATTCCCGGTATTGATTATAATGAGATTGACAAAGCTCAAAATCAAGTTCAACGACATTACGCCTTACGGCAGTGCAAAGCCAACCATCAACATGAGACAAATCATCAGTATAGGTAACTGAAAGACGGAATTTTTTTATGTCTGATGAGTCGCGGAAGTAAAGTACACGATCAACAAATCTGGTAAAAAGGTTAGAGCCATATGGACCTGCCTGAAAAGAAGGAAAATCTTTTCTGTCGTTGAAGTAGAGATTGGGAACAGAAGTCCATAAGTTCTTCCACCTTCTAGACAAAATGGTGGTCCTCACAGCATATTTTGTAGGAAGGAACGAAAGTATGTGACATAGAAGTGCATCTGGTAGCGCATTGATCCTATCTTTAACTTTTGCTCGACGTTTCAACACCAAGCTCATTTTTACCTTAAATATTTCAACAAAACATGGTTAAATTGCAACAATAACACAAAATTAATCATTTTTGTTTTTACTTACAAGCGTAACCAGAGGAAAAGAGCAATACATATGTATACACAAACACACACACACACACACACACAAACACACACACACACACAAACACACACACACACACACACACACACACAAATACACACACATTACGCTCTGTTTGATCGCTTAGAAACTAAGGTAAGAAAAATGTATGAAATTTAACAGCATTAAGATATTTCAATTCAAGGATTTCCAATTGAATGCAAAAGCAATAAACTTTCAATCTATCAATAAACAACTAAAAATTCTAATTTCTAGTGAAACAGAGATAAATCATAAAGATTATATATTTATTTTCCAGGGGCACACGATACAAAAGGGTAAGACTTTAATTTTCTAATCTTTTCCTCTGTTTTGATTTTTCTCAGTTTTCTCGGTAACCAAACAGATTGTAAGGAAAGGAGCTGACAACAAATATTGAAGAAAAATACCTGAGGAAAAAGCTACGGAGAACGGAGGGAAATGAGAACCACAGGAGCGTCGGAAGCGGCGACGTTTTTATCACCTCCGCAGCTGTGAAGTGGGAACATTCCAGGCTTCGATCATTTCTGAGAACTTGACTCATATTTTTGTACAATTTATTTATTTTTTATTTTTTAAGTTTTTGCTTTGGTTGGGCCTTAGGATGACTTGGGTAAGCCCAACTAATTTGAATCCAATGGTAACTAAAAAAATATTACCAGAACATTGATAAATTAAGAAGATGAAGGAAAACTAGCATATTCCTGATCTACATTAAAAAATTTAAGGAAAAGTTTAAGAGTTGAACAAGCATGAGTAAGGCAGTTTTTAACCCAAACATCAAAAGTAAGTGAAATTGGTCGAAATGATCATTTTTAAATTCAAATTTCTGATATGTGATCCATTATCTTAGTAGATAAGGCGTTGTGTTTGAATTCGTCTCTCTCTGGCGACTTGCGAGTTGGAACCACCATCACCTTCAACTCCTCCCAAACCTTCCAATCGCAACCACCTCTTCATTGTCGTCAAGATTATCGAACACCACCATCGTCTATGGAGACGAGGGTCATCGAGTGTCTGAGTCGAAATTGGTGATGGTTGCTGTTGAGTGACTCGAGTCATGAGTGAATGGGACAAGAGTTTCTGAGTGAGAAAAAAAATTAAATCCAACGGTGTAGTGGAAGTGAGATTAATCATTAAATCCAATCCAATTATCCAATGCTAGATGCATGTTTCTCCTATTTTTGGACCCGCCTTGCCCCGTCAATTCTTGCACCCGTCCTGTCCCAACCCGTCATGCTTCTTCTTCAAAATATTTAGACCCGCCCTGTACCCGCCTAAAACTGCTTGAACCCACCGTCATGTTTCTTCTTCAAAATATTTAGAACCGCCCTGTACCCACCTCAAACTGCTTGAACCCACTCGACCTGCGGGTCTAGGACTCATTTGCCTACCCCTTAGATTTTGATGATGTAAAATGGTTGTTCTCTTTGACTTTTTGTTATTTTTTGGGATGCTTTTTGTTATTAGTTTGCCCAATTGATTAAAATAAATCCTTATTGTAACTTAAATTTTTAAGTACTACGGTGTAGTGATATTCATCTTCACTTGTAAGTGAGAAGTCTTAGGTTCGATTTGCACTAAAGGTGAAGTCGAACCACATTATTGTTAGCCTATTGTCAGGCAAAGCCCACCCTTTTCCCGATAGAGTAGATAATATCACTTGTTAAGAAAATACATTAAGATTTGAAAGAAAACGAGAAATAAAACATCAAACTATAATTAATAAATGAGGTGACTAAATGTATCAAGGGACGAAAATTAGATATTGATCTTACACAAGGTTATACTCCAAGGATTAAAATGAAGTTTTCTAATAAATACTAGCATATGGCCCACACTTTGTGTCTGAAAATAATTTTTATTTTTATTGTAAAATGGGAAGGAGAAAGGAGAAAAAAAGAATGTGGATTAGAGAGAGAATTTTTCTTTTTTGTATTTTATTTTTCAAAATTAGAGAATGTTAGGATCATTATCACATCCCGGCCCGGGGCGGATCACTTCCCGGGCCAGATCCACCACCGTAGCACGATATTGTCCGCTTTGGGCCCCGACCACACCCTCACGGTTTTGTTTCTGGGAACTCACACGAGAACTTCCCGATGGGTCACCCATCCTGGGAGTGCTCTCGCGCGCTACTCGCTTAACTTCGGAGTTCCTACGGAACCCGAAGCCAGTGAGCTCCCAAAAAGCCTCGTGCTAGGTAGGATGGGAATATACATTTAAGGATCAGTCCCCTGGGCGATGTGGGATGTCACAATCCACCCCCCTTAGAGGCCCGACGTCCTCGTCGGCACACACGCGACCAGGGTTAGGCTCTGATACCAATGTCACATCCCGGCCCGGGGCGGATCACTTCCCGGGCCCGATCCACCACCGTAGCACGATATTGTCCGCTTTGGGCCCCGACCACGCCCTCACGGGCGATGTAGGATACTACAATCCACCCCCCTTAGGGAGCCCAACGTCCTCGTCGGCACACCACAACCGTGAGTCTGGCTCTGATACCAAATTGTCACATCCCAGCCTTCCCTCGCAATGATATTGTGACATCCCACATCGCCCAGGGGAGTGATCCTTAAATGTATATTCCCATCTCTACCTAGCACGAGGCCTTTTGGGAGCTCACTGGCTTCGGGTTCCATGGGAACTCCAAAGTTAAGCGAGTAGCGCACGAGAGCACTCCCAGGATGGGTGACCCATCGGGAAGTTCTCGTGTGAGTTCCCAGAAACAAAACCGTGAGGGCGTGGTCGGGGCCCAAAGCGGACAATATCGTGCTACGGTGGTGGAGCGGGCCCGGGAAGTGGTTCCACCCGGGCCGGGATGTGACAAATTTGGTATCAGAGCCTAACCCTGGTCGCGAGTGTGCCGACGAGGACGTCGGGCCCCTAAAGGGGGTGGATTGTGACATCCCACATCGCCCAGGGGAGTGATCCTTAAATGTATATTCCCATCTCTACCTAGCACGAGGCCTTTTGCGAGCTCACTGGCTTCGGGTTCCATGGGAACTCCGAAGTTAAGCGAGTAGCGCACGAGAGCACTCCCAGGATGGGTGACCCATCGGGAAGTTCTCGTGTGAGTTCCCAGAAACAAAACCGTGAGGGCGTGGTCGGGGCCCAAAGCGGACAATATCGTGCTACGGTGGTGGAGCGGGCCCGGGAAGTGGTTCCACCCGGGTCGGGATGTGACAATCATCCTTGGGTGAGGGTTTGAAAAAAACTATAAAATTTAGTTTGTGTAAATTTATTTTACTGCCCTTGATTTTGTTTTGTGAGAGAAGACAAATTATCTTTTTACTATCTTTTGATTAACACAAAGAGGGTTTTATTAATGTAGTTTAAACGTCTATAAAATATGTATGTATGGTTGGGCAATTTAATCCATGATTGTATATTGACGGTTACTTTTTGATACTTGAATTATTTCCCATTTAGCTAGCGGTTGATGATAAAGATAAAACACTCTCTTAATTCCTATTAAAAAGGCCACGTCATAAATACCATGTAATTTTAACTAGCTTGACAGACAAGAAACCCTAGCCCATTGTTACCTATATAAATACATGCCGCTAGCTAGTGATCACTCCATTCAGTATCATTACTTGCTCATCGCCTCCGTATTTCTCTTACTTCTCAAATCCTTGCTGTTAGAAAGTTATTATGGCTGGTTACTACCAAGTTCCAGTAGGGTACAGGTTCATGCCTCGAGACGACGAACTACTTCTTGACTACCTTCGTCCCAAACTTGACGGACAGGACTATCCCAAAGGCATTGTTCATGACTGTGATCTCTACGGTCTTGAAGAACCATCGGACATATGGAGACGTCTTAACCGTGCATCACATGAGGGTCATGAATGTACAGATGATAAAGATATCTACGTCTTCACCACACTCAACTTGAAGGCTCCCAATGGCTCGCGTTTTTGCCGAACAGTTGGCACCACCGGCGGCACTTGGAAAGGCGAAGACGCCGGCAAGAAAATCTACGCCTCTGGGATTAAGCATGCTATTGGCTTCAGAAAAAGATTTACGTACAGGATCAAAGGATCCCCACAGAATGACCATTGGATTATGCATGAGTTCCATCTTGATCCATCTTTACTACGAAACAAACATCATCAAGTAAGTACACTTTTCTTTCTTTTAAATTGTTTTTAAGTTTTCTGTCTAATTATTCGGAAAATCACTATATAAAATTAGCCTCTAGAAAAAAAGTTAAGAAGAACGGATCAAAGGCTTATAAAATATATTCACACTTATACATATATTAATATTGGCAGGCAAGGAAGTATATTGGCATGGGAACAATCTTATAAGGACTTAATTATTTGCGATTTCCTTTTTCTTTTTCTTAATTTTCTAGTTGACATTGAAACTTTGCTCACTAATAAAAAATATTGCTCTCTTTTCTACAGTCGTTAGAGAAAGCAACACATTATATATATGTATGTATGTATGTATGTATGTATGTATGTATATGCATTTAGACCTTTTTATTTATTTTAGTAAGGATTGGAATTTATATTAACAAAAGCAAATGCGATTCTCAAATGCAGGAGAAGAATATTGTTCTTTGTATTCTTAGAAGAAAGGATGATATATCAAAGAAAAGGAAGCTGGAGGAACGAGATAACTATGAAGAAAATGCAGCTAATCACTTTCAACCTCAGGCGCTTAATGCTATAAATGTTGGAGATTACAATAATGCCCCTATCTATATGGAGCAAATCGCATTTGATCACTCTCAACCTCTGACACTTACTGCTACAACAATTGGAGATTACAATAATGACCCTAGGTATCCAGAAGAGAACGCAGCTAATCACTTTCAACCTCAGGAGTTTGAAGCTGCAACTACCGGAGATTATAGTAATGCACATTGGTATACAGAACATAACGCAGCTGATCACTTTGAACCTCATGATGAGGCGCATAATGCTACAAATGAAGCTTTAACTACTGCCCTTAAGCGTATGGAGGAGATCCTTATGAGTGGTTTTCGAGGATGACAAGTTTATATGAGTCGGTATGTCCTGAGAGACTCCAAAGTATAGAAGAAGAAGAAGAAGAAGAAGAAGAAGAAATTGCAGCAGCTGTTGGTATTGCTTACACAAAAACAGGATTAATGTCACTTGTTAGTGTTCACTGGTATTGCCAACCAGTGTAAACAAATGGCTAACCACGAATTGTAAAGTGATCATGTTTTCTCCTTTATAACTGTCATACTGTTGATATTTTCGGCTTATATATTTACCTACTTCCTTAAATTGTATCACGCACCTTGGCACCTTGAAATTGGGTTGCTTAATTTGTGTAAGAATATTTCATAAATCAATATACATAGGGAAGTCTTTTTTAAGAAACAGATGAATTCAAGAATGCTCGCTCGTGCAAACCAAATGAGCACAATGCCTCGTGTTATTTACTTGTGTTGTAAGGAAGCTTTCTTTGCATTTGTGGTTTTAAGGGGATTGAGCCTTATTTGCCAATCGCCTACTTGGCTATCATACTAATAAGTTAATTCAGGACGAATTATCAGGAGAGGATAATTAATTTAATGTGTTGATCACACATTATGACCTTACCTTAAATCAGTCAGGGAGCTTATAACAATAAGCTTGGTTGAATTTGTTTCAAACAGAAGATATTTAACAAGCAGTACATACTATTTAATTTTTAGGAAATTTCATTGGATATATAATAAAACCTTGGCTTTTAGCGTTGAATCGGATTTCCTGAAATAGTTGGCATGCAACTATGCTCTCATCTTCTAGGCTGAAGTACGTAGGTTAAACCTCTTCCCAATTTGCATGCTCGGAAAGAACTTTAATCAATGAAACTCCGCCTTCTAACCAATATACATGTTAACCAGCCGCAAGTCCGCCTTCTTTAAACAAATGGGTAAAAGGTCAAGTGCTTCAGATAAGGCATGCAACACACATCCCTGAGAAAAATCTACGGAGAAACGGAGGGACCTGAGAACCACAGAAGCGGCGACGTTAGTGGGAACCTTCCAGGCTTCGATCATTTTTTAGAACTTGACTCATATTTTTGTACAATTTTAGCTTCTTTTTTATTATTTATTTTTTTTTAAGTTTTTGCTTTGGTTGGGCCTTGTAATGACTTGGTAAGCCCAACTAATTTGAATCTAATGGTAACTACAAAAATATTACTAGAACATTGAAAAATTAAGAAGACGAAGAAGGAAAGCTAGCATATTCCTCACTTATAATATTTTTCTTCACTTGTAAGTGAGAGGTCTTAGGTTCGATTTTCGTTAAAGGCTAAGTCAAACCACATTATTGTTAGCCTATTGTGAGGCTAAGCCCACCCTGTTTCCGATAGAGTAAATAATATCATTTGTTAAGAAAAAAACATTAAAATTAGAAGGAAAAAGAGAAATAAAACATCAAAATATAATTAATAAATGATGTGACTAAATGTATCAAGGGAAGAAAATTAGATATTGATCTTACACAAGGTTATACTCTAAAATTATCTTTTCCAAGGATAAAAATGAAGTTTTCTAATAAATACTAGCATATGCCCCACTCTTTGTGTGTGAAAATAATTTTTATTTTTATTTAAAATGGGAAGGAGAAAGGAGAAAAAAGGAATGTGGATTAGAGAGAGAAGTTTTCTTTTTTGTATTTTATTTTTCAAAATTAGAGAATGTTAGGATCATCCTTGCGTGAGGGTTTGAAAAAAACTATAAAATTTAGTTTGTGTAAACTTATTTTACTGCCCTTGATTTTGTTTTGTGGGAGAAGACAAAATTATCTTTTTACTATCTTTTGATTAACAAAGAGGGTTTTATTAATGTAGTTTAGATATCGATAAAATATGTATGTATGGTTGGGCAATTTAAACCATGTATATTGACGGTTACTTTCTGATACTGGAATTATTTCCCATTTTTCTAGCGGTTGCCGGTTGATGATAAGGATAAAACACTCTCTTAATTCCTATTAAAAAGGCCACGTCATAAATACTATGTAATTTTAACTAGCTTGACACACAAGAAACCCTAGCCCATTGTTACCTATATAAATACATGCCGCTAGCTAGTGATCACCCTATTCAGTATCATTACTTGCTCATCGCCTCCGTTTTTCTCTTACTTCTCAAATCCTTGCTATTAGAAAGTTATTATGGCTTGTTACTACCAAGTTCCAGTAGGGTACAGGTTCATGCCTCGAGACGACGAACTGCTTCTTGAATACCTTCGTCCCAAACTTGACGGACAGGACTATCCCAAGGGCATTGTTCATGACTGTGATCTCTACGGTCTTGAAGAACCATCGGACATATGGAGACGTCTTAACCGTGCATCACATGAAGGTCATGAATGTACAGATGATAAAGATATCTTCGTCTTCACCACACTCAACTCGAAGGCTCCAAATGGCTCGCGTGTTTGCCGAAAAGTTGGCACCACCGGCGGCACTTGGAAAGGCGAAGACGCCGGCAAGAAAATCTACGCTCCTGGGATTAAGCATGCTATTGGCTTCAGAAAAAGATTTACATACAGGAACAAAGGATCCCCACAGAATGACCATTGGATTATGCATGAGTTCCATCTTGATCCATCTTTACTACGAAACAAACATCATCAAGTAAGTACACTTTTCTTTCTTTTAAATTGTTTTAAGTTTTCTGTCTAATTATTCGGAAAATCACTATATAAAATTAGCCTCTAGAAAAAAGTTAAGAAGAATGGATCAAAAGCTTATAAAATATATTCACGCTTATACATATATTAATATTGGCAGGCAAGGAAGTATATTGGCATGGGAACAATCTTATAAGGATTTAATTATTTGCGATTTCATTTTTTCTTTTTCTTAATTTTCTAGTTGACATTGAAGCTTTGCTCACTAATAAAAAGTATTGCTCTCTTTTCTACAGTCGTTAGAGAAAGCAACACATTATATATATATATATATATATATATATATATGTATGTATGTATGAATATGCATGTAGACCTTTTTATTTATTTTAGAAAGGATTGGAATTTATATTAACAAAAGCAAACGCGATTCTCAAATGCAGGAGAAGAATATTGTTCTTTGTATTCTTAGAAGAAAGGATGACATATCAAAGAAAAGGAAGCTGGAGGAACGAGATAACTATGAAGAAAACGCAGCTAATCACTTTCAACTTCAGGCGCTTAATGCTATAAATGTTGGAGATTACAATAATGCCCCTATCTATATGGAGCAAATCGCATTTGATCACTCTCAACCTTTGGCACTTACTGCTACAACAATTGGAGATTACAGTAATGACCCTAGGTATCTAGAAGAGAACGCAGCTAATCACTTTCAACCTCAGGAGTTTGAAGCTGTAACTACCGGAGATTATAGTAATGCACATTGGTATACAGAACAGAACTCAGCTGATCACTTTGAACCTCATGATGAGGCGCGTAATGCCACAAATGAAGATTTAACTACTATCCTTAGGCGTATGGAGGAGATCCTTATGAGCGGTTTTCGAGGATGACAAGTTATATGAGTAGGTATGTCCTGAGATACTCCAAATTATAGAAGAAGAAGAAGAAGAAATTGCAGCAGCTGTTGGTATTGCTTACACAAATAGAGGATTAATGTAAAATGCTTGTTAGTGTTCACTGGTTTTGCCAACCAGAGTAAATCAATGGCTAACCACGAATTGTAAAGTGATCATGTTTTCTTCTTTATAACTGTCATACTGTTGATATTTTCGGTTGATATATTTACCTTCTTCCTTGAATTGTATCACGCACCTTGAAATTTAATGTGTTGATCACACATTATGACTTACCTTACATTAGTCAGGGAGCTTATAACAATAAGCTTGGTTGAATTTGTTTCAAACAGAAGATATTTAACAAGCAGTACGTACTATTTAATTTCTTGGAAATTTTATCGGTTGTATAATAAAACCTTTGCTTTTAGCGTTGAATTGGATTTCCTGAAATAGTTGGCAAGCAACTGTACTCTCATCTTCTAGGCTGAAGTAGCTAGGTTAAACCTCTTCCCAATTTGCATGCTCGGAAAGAACTTTAATCAAGCCTTCTAACCTATATAACCCGCCGCAAGTCCGCCTTCTTTAAACAAATGGGTAAAAGGTCAAGTGCTTCAGATAAGGCAACACACATCCCTGGATCGGAGCCTACCCTACCCTCGGGTGGAAGCAATGAAGTTCTCTGCAGGAGAGAACAAGCGCTTGCACATGGTTTCAATTCAATTTTTCTAGAAAAGATCTCAATCTATATTCCTCTCCCTTTGAGATTTTTTTAGTAGTGATATATTATGGTTTTAGATAAATGAATGTTGCTAACTTGCCATATATAAGCGCTAACTAGTTAGTAACTTAATGTAACTTTAACTACTCAGCTAATCGCTTTCAACTTCAGGCACTTAATTCATGCTATAACCAGGGGGATTACAATACATGGAGAAAAACAAACTTCCAACCTCAGGCGTTTAATACTACAAATGGAGATTTCACTAATAACTAGTTTATTGTCTTATCGACACAATGAATTGTACTCTTTAACCATATTACATCCTTTGGAGTTCTACCTGACCAAAACCTACATCATTTGAAGTCTCCATTTGATTATACAATTGAAAACAAGCAGTAGCAAACATAGAAAGTTTCTGGTTTTGACAAAGTTGGTGTTTTTAGAAGTTTGAAACCAGAATTGTACCTAAACCAAGAACTGTACTTTGAACCCTTTTTGCAACGGATGAGGATCCTCTCCGGATCCTCTTTGTGGGGATCCTAGGGGTCCTCATATCATGACCGTTCATCGTACATCGTGCTGGTCAATTTTCGTTAGGTACTATTTGTGTTTAATTTTAAATAAATAAATTCAAAATGATTTATGACCTCACGATGTAGGATAAACGGTTAGGATGTGAGGATCCCTAGGGTTCCCACAACTTGGATCCGGATGGGATCCATCTCCCTTGCAAACGTAGAGAATTCTTGGCAACTTCTTATCTATGTACGGTTG